TCCTAACCCATTTTTCCACACACACGGCCCCAAATCAATCATTCCCATCCCTGTAGGCTTCCAAATCTCAACAACGGTTTGAAACACGCCCACGATTCCTACGCCATTCCTACAATTGTACACATCGCACAGTGCTTTTTATCCTGAATCTGAATGATATTTACATTCACTGTATCCTCGTCTTGCCATATCCACACCTAATCTTTACTGCACTGTACAAGTACTGGCTTGTACGCTCTCTACCAACTTCTCGGATGCGCTTTAATCCGGTCCCACCATGGCCCAATAGATAATGCTTTTGCCACTGGCCTTTCTTCCTCAATGCTGGACTGTTGTATCGATCACCACCATATCCCATCTACGACATGCAAATTTCACCTAGCCGCCTCGTCAGTTGCTTCTCTCGCGTTAGATATCCATCATCCGGTATCGCTACTATTGGTATAAATAAAAAACGTCAACCCCCTCCGTTCCCTTATCCCTAGCTGGCTTGAACCCGTCTCAACTCCAGCCCCACGGCACCTTCATTCCTTCCGCCGGAACCCACATCTTTAGGAACCCAGACCCCCTTCAGCACAAGCGCACACGTCCACCGATCTACACATATCACGACTCTACTTCATTTCGACTCTTTCCTCATTCACTAATGGCCGCGGAGTGGGCGGAAGCCGTGACCACATCCGAAGTCCGCGAATTTTTTAACTGCGAGGACGACCCAGTTCGCAACTACTTCGGCTTTAGGCAGTATGCATGCTCCACCTCCTTCTTCGTCGGGGACAACCCCCCCCTCCCTAGTTGGGTTGGGTACGTTATCATTCTCGGATTTGGCCTAATGTTCGGTCTTTTCACTGTTGGTCTTGTCTACCTTGAACAGTTCCTCACTGGACGCAAAATGGACTCGGAAATGTTCAACACCGCCGGAAGAACCATCAAGACTGGTCTCACAGCTTCAGTTCTTGTTTCACAATGGACTTGGGCGGCCACACTCCTCCAATCATCCAATGTGGCATTCAGGTTTGGGGTCTCTGGTCCATTCTGGTATGCGGCTGGGGCAACAATTCAGATCTTACTCTTTTCCTGTCTTGCTGTACTGGTCAAGCGTCGCGCGCCGTCTTGCCATACGTTTTTGGAAATTGTCCGGGCTCGTTGGGGTACCGTTGCCCACATTGTCTTCGTTGTGTTTGCTTTCCTCACGAACGTTATTGTTACATCCATGCTTATTCTTGGTGGTTCCGCGACAGTCACTGCACTTACCGGAATTGACACAGATCTGGCTTCCTTCTTGATCCCGCTTGGCGTCATCGTGTATACCCTTGCTGGTGGCTTGAAAGCTACATTTATCGCATCCTACTTCAATACTGCTGTCATTTTGATCGCCTTGTGCATTTTTATCTTTCAGGTTTATGTGACCAGTCCGGATCTTGGGTCGCCCGCAGTAGTGTGGGAGAAGCTGAATTCTTTCGTAAAGGTGGAGCCGGTCGAATCAAATTTCCAAGGTTCATACCTGACCATCTTATCACGGGGAGGTCTCTTTTTTGGCCTCACCAACATTGTCGGCAACTTTGGAACCGTATTCGTGGATCAAGCTTATTGGCAGTCTGCAATTGCTTCGACTCCGTCTGCCTCGTGGAAAGGGTATATGCTTGGTGGGTTGTGTTGGTTTGCGATCCCGTTCTCCCTGGCAACATCTCTTGGGCTTGCCGCCACGGCACTCGCGTTGCCCATCACCGAGGACGAGGCAGGTTCTGGTCTTGTGCCCCCAGCTGTCGCTCAACACTTGATGGGAGATGGCGGCGCTGCACTCATTCTGATTATGCTTTTCATGGCAGTGACATCAACCGGAGCTGCAGAGCAAATTGCGGTTTCTTCATTGGTTGCGTATGATGTTTATCGTACATACATCAACAGGAACGCAACTGGCAAACAGATCATTTTCATTTCCCGTATTGTCATTGGGGCTTTCGGATTGCTCTCTGGCGTACTTGGTATCGTACTCAACAAGATTGGGGTCAACCTAGGCTGGCTCTACTTGTTCATGGGAGTGGTGATCGGATCTGCCGTCGCACCTGTGGCGTTTTCTATCACATGGAAAAGGTGTTCGGGCACCGCAGCTGTGTCCGGCGCTGTCATTGGAATGATTCTAGGTTTGACTTCATGGCTGACCTACGGTGCCCTGAGAGAAGGGGGTCTTACAATTGACAATCTGGGCAAGGATGAGGTGATGCTCACCGGGAATCTGGTTTCAATTCTAAGCTCACTAGTGATTTGTGTGGTGGTATCCCTAATCAAACCGGACGATTGTGACTGGAGCGCGACGCGTTCTATTGCACTAATCGAAGATGATAAGAACGCACATCTCTCCGAAGAGACCGAAGAGGATTTAAAGAGAGCATCGAAGATTATCGGGTGGACAGCAATTCTGCTAACATTTGTACTTGTCGTTGCTTGGCCGGTGCTTACAATTCCAGCCAAGGCTTTCAACAAGGGTTATTTCACATTCTGGGTGGTGCTTTCGTTTATCTGGGGTATACTTGCGACGGCAGCCATGGTTATTATCCCCGTATGGGAGAGTCGGTCCGTGTTTGCACGTATTTTCGGTGGCAAGAAGACGGAATTGGGGAAGATACCAGAGCTCACGGTCGAGGGAAGCGAGTAAGTGGAGAGAAGAGCGTGAAATGGGGTGTTTTGAACTGGAGAATGAAGATGCGAGTGCACATATTTGTGTTGACCCTTTTTCCGTATTTGCTTGGACGGCGACGGGGATTTCGCTGTCCATCCACCAAGAGAAAACCGAATAATAATGGATGCGTGGTGTCGAAGAAAGACCTAGTCCATTAGTGTATTATTATCATGCGTAAACTGTTTGACAGAAACCTGTGTGTGTTTGTGTGTGTGTAAAGTGGTGGGGTTTGTGATTTGGAGTGCCGCGCAGTTGAGGATGCGGCTGACTGGATGAGCCATTGTGCCGTATTGGCTGTGTAGGTGCTTTGAGATCACACGATACTGGGCTAAATGGAAGTGTAGACGTGTTCATTACACGGAGTCCGAACAAGGCATAGAGAAAAAGCACGGGGAGGAAAAGCTTGTGATTTGGTGGAATGATTAATTGTTCTTGAAGGGATATGATTTATTTTTGGGTGTGCCAGACGAAGGGAGGAGGTAAAAGGCCTGGAACGGATTAAAGAAGACAAGCGATCTTTTACAAGACTCGGGTGGAACGAAGCAATAAGCACACTGCAGGCACACTGCAGCAGACATGCAGTACACGTGGGCGTTTTAGCAAGGGAAAAAGAGAGGAGAATGTTTGTTGTTGTGGCTCTGAAATGTGTGCCGCAGAGGGGGGGAGGGGTGAGTCTGTCAAGACTTGTCAGACATGAGGTGCGTAGACAACAGAGTGGAAGGAAATAACACGGTAAAGAAAGTGGGAGATAAAGGTGTGATGAATGGCCAAAAGGCAACAAGCCAAGTTGGGGACTGGGGCACGTCGGACGGTTGCAAAGGCGGAGGACAAATGCGGGGAGGATGAAGCGCAGTTGGGGTGCCACGGTGAAGCGAGAGGTGTGGTCGTGTGGAGTGGCTCACGAGAGTGGAGGTGGACAGAGAAGCGGGGAGACGGGATAAGGATACAGTAGGGAAAGGGAGAGCGAAAATTGGGTGCGGGCAATACACTCGTTTTGGTTTCGTTAGAGATATGTGTCTGTACAGTCTACTGTGACAAATGGCACGTAAATTTAATTTGCTTTCTCTGATTTCAAACAAAAAAGAGGTACTTGAAGTAGGCGGGAGATTTCTGGTAGGCGAGAAGGGCGGCATAGCACAAAAGGATGGGGGTGAGGTGTACGGCAAGCATAACATTCTGATTTTGGTGAAAGATAAAGAAGGGAGAACGACGTGGGCTGGCGCCGACAATCTGTGAGCGTGTGTCCATGGCGTTACAGGGCGACGGATGCGAGAGTCGGGCGAAGGTGCAGGGGGGTTGGCGGTCGTTTGGAGGGGGATTCTGGCTGGGATTGACGTCATTCGACGGGTGCAAATCCATAGTGGGGGTGGGGGGTGGGTGCTGGGTGATGGAATCGGGAAAGGCGATCTCGAGAGAGGGCGTGTGTGGCGCGTGAGGGCGTGTGGCAGTGGCACACGTGGGCATCGAAATCGGGGGAACGTCTCGCTGCGGTTGGCTCTTCCCACAAGGGACCCAGCGACTACGCTGCCGAAAAACACAAGGGGACACTTCCCCCCCCCCCCCCCCCAACGAAGACAATTGGGGAAGGGTCCAGGAAATAAGGGTCGGGGACCGGGTACCCATGACGC